GCTGACTTATTAATGCAAAGGGTTTTCTTTTTGTACAGGACATGCCAGTTTGGGGAGGTTTGGGGGCATTGTTTGGCGAGAAGAAAGCAAGCCTCACTGATCATTTTCTTTTCCACTTTTAATCAGAGCAGCTGAAGCAAGCAGGTGCTGTGATTCAGAGCCCATGGGAAGAGGGGAGGGAGACATCACAGGGGGAAACTCATCTGCATGAGAGATTTTTAGGATTTTTGCCTCTTAAATTGCAGCACTGGGGTGCTGGCTCTTCTGGGAGGGTTGGGAGGAGCTGCTGGAGAAGCATCACTGGGCAGCCAGCAGAAGTCAAAGCCTGCTTCAGCTGCAATGCCCAGCAATTTTAATCAAAGCATCCATTTCCCACACATCTCCCAGGGAATGGGCACAGCCCCAGGCTGCCAGAGCCCAAGGAGAATTTGGATAACACTGCCAGGGATGCACAGGGTGGGATTGTTGGGGTGTCTGTGCAGGGCCAGGAGCTGGAGTTTGATCCTTGTGGGTCCCCTCCAGCCCAGGATATTCCATGTTTTACCTCCTCCTGTGATCCCTGAGGATGCCAAGCTGCTGGCAAGGGGCTGTGGCAGAGATGCTGGTGTGCAGCACAGCTCTGGGCTCTCCCACTGATCCCAAAACACAGCAGCCAGCACATCTGGAGCCTGGGGTCAGCACAGCTGCACGGGGACGGCTCAGCTCAGCTGGGGCTGGCACTGGGGGATGAGCAGCTTTCACCCACCCATCAAGGGCAGAGTGGCAGTGACAGCAGCCCAGTCACACTGGCACAGGACTGGGAAAGGGGGAGAGCTAAGCACTTGCCCCTGGCCTCCTTGAGTGCCTTGGTTCCCCTCCAAGGCAAAGTTTGCACTGCTGGCAAAGCAAACTGAGCAGTGAGCTGGGCAAGGGGTTGTGCAATAGGTGTGGAAACCTCCACAAGGCACTTCTGGCATTCCCAGGGCTCTCAGCCCACAGGGGAAAGCACTCCAGGTCGGGAAACCTGCCCAAGGCTGCTGCCAAAAAATGTTTTTTGGGTGGGACTTGTTTGCTGTTTGCTCAGGAGCAGCTTCCATGAGCACCTTTGACACTGACAGCAGGGCTGGGTGCACCCAGCTGGATTTTCTTCCCGCATGTTTCCACCTGCCACGCTATGAAAACTATGAGAAAAATGCCTCATGTGTTTTCTTCTGGGATTCTTCCTTCTGAGAGGACGTGGGAACTGGTGCCACAAGTGCCTGAGCCTCGAGGGGAGGGTGCAGAGGGAGGACACAAGTGCAGGATGGAGCAGAGAGCCCTGGGAACAAGCCAGGGAACAGCATCCCGGAGAGGCAGGGCTGCAAATTCCCCTGGCACTCGTTTTTCTCTTCTGCTCCATCTGAGCTGATTGCATCAAAACCCAGCTCTGATAAAATACCATCAGCTGCCCCTGTTATTAAATAATTCACGTGGATTATTTAATTCATGGCTCTATGAGATATCTGATAGCCTCACAACATCTGATATCCTCACAACAAGGAATGACAATAAAATTCCCTGTAAAACTTTTATGGAACATCACCCAGCTTCTTCTGCAGAGCCCCCAGACAGTCACAGCACACACTCAGCAATGCCAGCCAGTTGAGATATGACAAATTTGTGGGTTATAATCACTTATATCCCACTTTTATCTCCAGTCTGACCTCTGCCATCATCTCCTTCACCTCCTGCAGGTGCACAGCAGAACCACAGCAAAACATCTTTGAGCTCAAGGGCATAGAAAAACAACAAAAAACCACATTCCCTGACAGGTCCTGTATAGAAAATGCTTTGACAGATCAAAATTTATATGATAACAGCATAAAAAAATTCCTGGGATAGTTTATCCCTGTTGTGGACTAAAGGAGGGACAGAGCCATGGCCAGCAGCAAACAGGACAGAGGAAGGAGCTCCAGTTCTAAGGAGCATCCTTGACCTGTTTTCCTGCAGATAAAAGGAGGATCAGCTGCCTGGAAAAAGCCAAGTGACATCCTGGGAGGATGTTCCCAACCCTGAAGGACACACAGAGCTCTGGGGCTGTGCTGAAAGGTCAAGGAAAAGATTGGGGTTTTAAAAATGCTGTGTAATTTTCATGTGATTCATCTGCTTTTTTGGCGGTCACCATGCCTGGGTTCTGTGAGCACAGCACATGGAGGGTCTGTGGGAGGGTTAATGGGATCTCACAGGACTCTGGATTAATCCATGAGGGACAGGAATAGTGAGGATGGTCCAGGGAACACAGGCACTGCTTAATCCCTCTCTCACAGATGAAGACTACAGATGGGAACATTGAATATCAGCCAGCTGAAAATTCATAGGTATTTATCTATATATTATATATGAGAGAAATCTATCTAAATATACACTCACAGATCCATGGAGCCCATGGCCACAACAAAGCTGATTTTAAGATTTTATCCACTTCCAAAGAATCACAGCCAGAGGAGCCCCACAAGGATGATGCAGTCCAAAGAAGAAAGAGAAAATGGATGTTTATGGTAGGAGTTTAGTCATCCCACTCAGAGGTTTTTTCCACACTTCAGGGAGCACATCAAGCTCCATCCATCCAAAAGCAGGAAGGATTTGGGGATGTTTGGCCATTATTTCCACCTTCTCCTCGAACCTGTCAGGAGGTGGCTGTGGGAAGGCAGAGCCACAACCTCCTGGTGGCCCCATCCCAGGTGCATTTCTGGGATGTTTTCAGAAGCCCATCCCTGGCTCTGATGGCCACATTCCCCAGCCCCTCAGCCCACCAGATGGTGCTCTCAGTATTAGTTAATACCGAACTAATTTGGGCCTTTTCCTGCCATTGAGAGACTCCAGCACTGGGTTGGGCATGGGGAAAAACATCACCAAGGCCTAATAAAGTCCTGATTGTGGTACCAGCGGTTCAGTCAAAGCAGTGGGAGAGGCTGGAGAAGCCAAGGCAGTGGGAACATGAATTCAACACTCAGGACATCATTCCATGCACCTTTGGAAAGCCTCTGGTGTTTTGTGTCCTGAGGGCCTCCTCCACAGGGCCTTCACTTCTTGGAGTTTTTCACTCATGGCCACGAGAGCTGGCTGGGACATTGGTGGGCTTTGGTGTTTCCACTTGCTAGAGGTAACAAAATGTGCCCAAATTTACAGGGAAATGTTGGGATATCAGGGAAGGATCATGCAGGGATCTCCACCACCCCACAAACCCAGCGTGGGCCGACATCCTCCAGCTGGGAGCTCTGATGAACTCCAAAGTCCCTCTCAGCCTTTATTTCTCCCCAGTTTTCTCTGAGAGGACTTTCCTGCTGTTCCCATGCCCTTTGCAGGCTGTGATACCCATAATTATACCGGGCCAGCAGAACTGGGCTAATTGTGGAGTTGATCCTGAGGTTGTTTCTCCGGCCCAGCAGGACGGCCTGCTCTCCTTTCATGTCCCCAGCTTAACAAGGCTCCCTTTAATTTCTCCTTAATAAAACCTGGGGCAAAGGGGAACATTTAATGCGCAGCTAAATAAAAAACAGAGAGTGCACCATACTGGCCGACTTCCTAAAACCCAAGTGCCTGTTCTGCAGCCATCCACAGGACCTCAGCAGCCAAATAAAACCTCCAGCACGGGAGCCTGAAGGCTGAGAGGACCAGCAGCTTGCTCTGAGGCTTTTGTTTTGTTGTTTTTTTCCCCCCAATAATGTGTTTTTATCGCTGGGGAGCCGGAAAAGGGGGAGCATGAAAGGTTCCCTGCGTGGGTGCACGGGAGCGTTCCTACACATAATGAGTTTTGCTGCCTCTGAGCAGAGCACTGTGAATAACAGCCCATAAAGTGGCTTTACCACCCCAATTGCCAGCCTCTAAAGCTTACTAAAAGCCTGCTCAAGCACAGGCAGAGCTGCCTGGCTGGCTGGAAATCCCCATTTTCTTCGGGGTTGAAATGGGAGAAAATCAGCGAACAAAGCCAACCTCCTTTTGGCCAGAACAGTTTTGCCAAAATCACTTAAATTTGTGTGATGATGCCATGTCTGCTCCACCCAGAGCTGTCCCACCAGCTCATTGAGTAATGGCACAATTCCTTATAAAGCAGGTCCACGCTGGGCAGGGTTAATCCAGCTCTGGGATGTGTTTTTCAAGCGTCATGCCTGGAAAACCCTCTGGGGCTCAGGGCCACCACTGTGTCCCAAGAGCTGAACAAATGGGATGATCCCCTGATGGATAAAGGGCCCCCACCGTCCTTGCTCCTCGCTGCTCAGAAGATCCATGGGTTGATGATGTCTAGCGGGATAAAATCCATCTTTCCTTGTCTTTTAGGATGTGGAGTCATGCAGGAGCATTCCCAACAGGCTTAAGAGGAGAAAGCCTGTGATTATTTCACTCTTTCAACCCAAAAGGTCCCAGGAAAGTGGGCAGTGCTCTGGGAAAGAGGAAAAATCCCCCAGAACATTCACTGCTCTGGTTCCAGAGCCCTGTTTTGCTGCCCATCCATGGGGTATGGAGAGCATCAATTCCCAGCCTAGCTTCCCTCATCCCACCTGAGCTGCCAGCACTCTCCCTGGCACAAGGAGACACCTCCATCAAACCTCCACCAAGAGCAAAACGGGCTTTTTCTGCTTAGCCTGCACCAGAAACTCTCTTCTTTCACCCCAGAATAGTATGGGTTGGAGGGACCTTAAATTCAGCCCATTCCACCCCTGCCATGGCAGGGACACCTTCCACTGTCCCAGGTTGCTCCAAGCCCCATCCAGCCTAACCTTGGACACTGCCAGGGATCCAGAGGCAGCCACAGCTGCTCTGGGCACCCTGTGTCAGGGCCTCAAACCCTCTCAGAGAAGAATTTCTTCCATATATCCCATCTAAACCTACCCCAAGAAGTGTCATTTCTCCTTTTGGAGAAGCCAGCCAGCTCCATCTCCCACACATGCTTTTCCATTTACAGCCAAAAAAAAAAAAAAAAAAAAAAAAAAAAAAAAAAAAAAAAAAAAAAAAAAAAAAACAAAGAGGCAAATAAAAGCTGAATTTCCATTGTTCACTTAGCCCTTTGATTTCTCTCCATTTTCCTTGCCTTTGTCTGTGTGGGAATGTGCATTTGTAATATATTTTAATGTTTTCTTCAATCCCTTTTGGACCACCATGGGCTGGGAAGCCGGGATGGGAGATGCGGAGAGACAGCCCCGCGCAAACCCAGCCTCGTCCCTTTGAACTCCTCGGGGCTTCCAGAGCAGCCAGAAGTAATTAGGGGAGCCAAAGGGATTGCAAGAGCCCTGCTGGCTCCCTGTCAGCCCTTCCTGCTGCCTTGGAATGAGGCTGGGCTGAGCCAGAGCCGAGAACTCTTGGAATTCCGGCACTGAACATTGTGAGGCAGCTCTGCCTCCACCTCACACCACACCAGCACCAAGGCCACACTGCTGTCCCTTCAGGCTGGGTGGCTTTGAGCTCTGATTTCCTTCTCAGACCAACAATATTCTTGGAACAACCTGTTTTAGTGGAAGTCAATCCTGCCCATGGATTGAGAAGGTCTCCAAGGTTCCTTCCAAACTAGACCTCTCTGTTATGGATTCTCTGAAGAATCACCATCAGATTTTTATGCAGCTCCAAGATTTCCAGGGAAAATCAGTGCTGAATCATCAAAATGCTTCTTCTCAGCTCACTAAACCTCCCAATCTGTTGAGTGCTCCCTCTGCCATGGGGTGCTGAGCCTGCTCTTCCCTGTGGATCCATGCAGGGGCTCCTCCATCTGAGTCGGGAATTCTGGCTGCCTTTTCCTCCCCTCTCTGTGGAGCAAAGAGGGAAAAGTTAGCGGCCTATTGCTTAATGAGCCTGTGCCTTCCCCATTAATGGGTGCACCCACGGTCAGAGGTGTCCCTTTCCCAAAGACATCACACCTGGAAAATCCTTTCTCCACTGCTGAGCTGAGGTCCACTAGGTGGCTGGAAGACATTATTTGAGGGTGGACTAGATGACTTTAAAGATCCTTCAAACCCAAACCATCACTTTGAGGCTATTTTGGAAGAAAAGGTGGAAGGGATTTTAAATTTTCAGCCTGGGAAGTGTTTTTTCCTTCTAGGCGTGGCTTTGATAAAACGTGTTCCTCTACCCCTGGTTTAATTCTCCTCTCTTGCTTTTTTCCTCCCTTCTCCTTCCTCTTTCTTGATCTTTTAGCAAAATCACTTTTTTCCGTGGGCTGTGGACATCTCCAAAGTCCAAAGCGACCTCAGTAGGTCTCTAATCTCCCCTCCTGCTCAAAGCAGGGCCAGACTCAGAGCTGGAGCCCAAATTTGGAGGTCCATATCAGCTCTGTGTTATAATGATGGGCACAGGTGTGAGAGCAGGCTGTGCTTGAGGTAAACCACAGAAAATTCCCATTCATCCCAATTAATTTGACTTTGTGGGAGAACTGTGATTTTGAAGGAGTTGGACAGCAAAATCTCAAAGTTCAGACCCAAAAGCTGATTTGTTTCTTCTTTTTTCTGTTGGTTATTCCACCCTTTCCTTCCATCCTGGATGCCCATGATTTGTATCAAATTTACCTGGTTTTTACACTAAATTTTCCACATCTGACTCCATTTCAGAAAAACTTCCACTCAGTGAAAAAAGTTGGACCTTTCTCCCTCATCTGGAACAAAAGCAAAGAAAAAACCCATGAGGACATTTCATTCCATGGAATTCCACTTTCTGGACAGATTTGGTTGCTGTCAAGAAGAAGGGGAGGCTCACTGAGACAGCTCAGGGAAGTTTTGGAAGCTCATCCAAAGGCCCCAAGCTGGCAGTGCATCCCCAAATCCTCTGCCAGCATCGTGAGGACGGGCTCTTTCAGGGTCCCCTCAAAGAACTGAATATGCAGTTCCCAAAATGCCTGAGGTCTCTAATTCTCCTAGGCTCCTTTTGAAGAATCCCAGCCTTTCTTTTTTTTTTTTTTTGTTTTTTTCCCCTCTTGTTTTTCATTCTGCTTCAGATAACCAGAGTGGGCCCCTTGCTCATTGTTCTCTGCGTCACCTCCCACCAAGAAAAGCGAAAGAGAGGGGAGGGAAAAAGCCACATGAAGATATTAAAACAAGCAACTGGAATGTCTACAGACTGGTGGGAGAGTTTATTCCTAATTCACATGTCCCTGTTTGCTGCTGGGAGCAGCTCTTTAGCTATTTATGGCATTCTGAGTGAGCAGCCACTCCTGGTGCCTGCTCAGCCTCAGCTGCAGGGTTGGCCCATGTGGCTCCTGCTGTTCTTCAGTGGGGTGGGGGGGTAAAAAAACCCTAAGAGAGAGTGTAGAGAAGTGATCAGAACTTTTGGGATGGGCCCATCTGGTCCCCACGTGGAAGCCCAGCCTGGGGGAAAGGCTGCTGGCAGGGAAAAGCTGTATGCTGTGGTCCTAGACAGGCTCCTTTCACTGATCCATTGAGGATCTATAGACACATGCATTATATGTGTGTGTGTGTAAATACACACAGAGATTCATCCTGGGCCAGAGAGAGCTCCCAGTGTTTTCTTTCCTGAAGCCCGCAGGCCCCTGGGCAGCAGTGATTTATTGCAGAGCAGGGATGTTCTGCCCTGTGTGCTGCTGCAGAGCAGAAGGAACTCCAAAATCCCCTGAGCTTGTCAGAAAAGGCCCTGAAAGCAGAATCAGAACGGTCTGAGTGGGAAATTTCCTCAAAACACATCCCATCCCACCCCCTGACACAGGCAGGGACACTTTCCACCATCCCAGGCTGCTCCAAGCCCCATCCAGCCTGCCCTGGGGCACTTGCAGTGATCCAGGGGCAGCCACAACTTCACCTCAGCTTCCCCACCCTCACAGGGAGGAATTTCTCCCCAAATCCCACCTAAACCTTCTCTGTGCAAGTGGGAAGCCATTGCCCTTTTTCCTATCACTCCATCCTCTATAAATTGTCTCTCTCCATGTTCCTTGTGGCTTTCCCTTATTGGAAAACCCCACAGCCTTCTCTTCTCCAGGCTGGAAAAAAAATGACAGATGTGAAGTGACGGTGAAAAGAATATTTGTGTGAAGTTTCTTTTCCTTATTCCTCAGTTTTCTAACCTTGCACAGAGAGCACACATCCTGGTGAAGGGCAAGACAAACCGTTTACCATCCAGGCAGATGCAGCAGGCCCAAAATCCAGAGCTGGCTGTGTCCTCTGGCCTGCAAAGTCTGTCCTGCCCTGCTCCTGTGGAAAGGAGGTGCTTGGAGGTGCCTCCCCTTAATTCCAAACTCACCACCAGGCTTTGTGCACCTGCAGAGCTCCCACTGCCTCATTTCCCAGGACGAATGAAGCTTTTGGGATGGTACAGCTGATCAAACTGTCTGCAGACACTCAACGAGGGAAAGAGGCTGAGCTGAGAGCAGAGGGAGGGCTGGCAGCTGGAAAATAGCGGGGAAAGAAATTTAAAATTGTGGAATTGGTGGAAAATATTACAAAATAACACCCAGTTCCTTCCACAGCCTGTGCCCAGCCCTGGCCCTCTTGTTCCAATGAAGACACTGAGGGGCTGGAGAATGGCCAGGGAAGGGAATGGAGGGGCTGAGGGAGCTGGGAAGGGGCTCAGCCTGGAGCAAAGGAGGCTCCAGAGGGATCTTTTCCCTCTCTGGAATTCCCTGACAGGAGGGGACAGCCTGGGGCTGTGCTCCAGGGAACAGGGACAGGAGCAGAGGGAACGGCCTCAGGCTGGGCCAGGGGAAGTTTGGATTGGAGATTGGGAAAAATTCCATCATGGAAAAGATTGCCAGGCCTTATAAGGGGCTGCCCAGGCAGTGGTGGGCAATTCCCCATTCCCAGAGGGATTTAAAATCTATATGGGTAAGAAGACACTGCGGCAGTGCTGGGGGAATTATTGGACTTGATGGTCTTAGAGGGCTTTTCCCACCTAAACAATTCTGTGATTTACGTAGATTTAAATGATTTAAATAGGTTTTTAAATAGGGTTTTTAGTGATTTAAACCCTTTTCCCTCTGCTTTTTCAAAGTCCCTGAAAATGATCCCTCGATAAGGCCGTGATAAATACCGAGGAGTCTCAAATATGTGCAATAGAAGCTGCCATTTTTGGAAAGAAGCAGGAAAAAAAATCCTACTAGAAGCTCAAATCCTCTATTTTCCTCTAGCCAGTGCCAGAATGGTTTTCAACATTCCCTTAAAGTTTTACAAGTCAAATAATTCTAGTCTAAAACACCATATTTCCTCAGCACCTACTGATACTGAACATGCTGTTTAAATAGTGAACAGCACAGAATCATTAGGGCTGGAAAAGACCTCTAAGATCATCAATTCCATGTACGAATGATTTCCTGCTGGCTTTTTGCAGGGGCAAGAGAATGGTTCCATAAGGGCATTAAAGGGAACATTTCCCAAGTATTTGGGAGGTTTTGTACTGCAAAACACCCAGTAAATGACAAAGGCAACCTGTTGTTAAGAAGTTCCATAAGAATTACATTTTCTTTTCCTTAGATCAGGCCGTAACTCTTGAAACAGAGAGAAATTTATTTGGCTGAAAATGAAAATAAGGACCAGGATCTGACTGAAAGGTTCTTAGGCTGAGCTCTCATGGAATCCCTTGGGTTGGGAGGGACACCAAAGCTCATCTTATCCCACCCCCTGCCATGGGCAGGGCACATTCCACTATCCCAGGTTGCTCCAAGCCCTGTCCAGCCTGGCCTTGGGCACTTCCAGGGATCCAGGCCTTTGTTCATAAGCAAATTTCTTTGTATTTTCAAAGAACATGCAAATAAATTTTCCCACTTTTTTCCCTAACGGGAAATTTGAGCCAGCCAAAAGCAGAAGCAGTTGGATTATGCAGAAAGAACATAAAGCTTGAAAAAAAAAAAATCAGGTTTCCAACCCCCTGCTCTGTGCTGCACACAAATCTGGGAATCAGAAGTTTGCAAGACAGAGAAACTCCTGGGGATCATCCAAAATAAAATCCATTTTCCCATTACAAGGGGGCTGAAAATAGAGCTGCAAATCCAAGCCTTTGGAGAGCTGGGCTGCAGTTGGGATGAGACTCCCCAGGTCTGGATCTGTGGCTGACCATTTTGATGTGGGAACCCTGACCAGACCCCTTTCATAATGCTGCTTCAGATGTGGCTGGAAAGCTGCTGCCAGTGACAGATTTCCCAGTGTTTTCCTGCTTCCAAAATGGCTCCAAGTCCTGCTTGGAGCCAAGGATCACGAGTCCCACTGGCAGAGTCTGTCAGCATCAAGTCTAGGAGCATTTTCCAGCACAGTCACAAAGCTTTCTGAAACCCCATTCCCAACCAAACTACACCATGGCAGCCTTCCATAATTTTTTTGGGGAGTGCTTGAAGCATAAAGCTTTGCATCCTCTTGGAAAATCTGGTTTTGGGGAAGTTTCCCGCATTTCCTGCTTGGTTCCCCTGCCAGCAACTGCTGCTAACACCCAAGGCTGGTTTGAAAGATGCAAAATATTCCCGTTTGCAAGTGGAGCAAGTTTTAATTACTCCCAGAATTAGGCCTGGAAGAGCCAAACTCAAAGAGATTTAGATAAAGCTTTGGGAATAAATTTTGAGGGTGCTGAGGCCCTGGCACAGGGTGAGCAGGGAAGCTGTGGCTGCCCCTGGCAGTGTCCAAGGCCAGGCTGGATGGGGCTTGGAGCCTTGGACAGTGGAAGGTGTCCCTGCCATGGCAGGGGTGGAATGGGCTGAACTTGGAGCTCCCTTCCAACCCAAACCATTCCAGGATTCATATTGATCAGATAAGAAAAGGAATTGCTTGAATACACAAGCCAGGCTATGATGGCAAAAAATAAACACAAAGCAGGGAACTTTGCTTGGGAGCCTTTTCCCCACCTTGGGCCGTTCCTCTCTCCCCTCCATGCCCAGCCTGTCTCTCTCTGCAGGAAGGACCTTTGCCAAAGAACACTTCCAGGCATATCTGAAGGATGAGGCCTGCAAAGCAATGGGGCATTCAAATAAAGATTGGAAATCATTTCCTTACAGGAAGGAGCTGTCCCAGTTTGTCTTCCCTTCCCTTTGATTGCACAGCTCGGATCAGGGAGAGTCAGGAAATTGCATCGTCTTAGGAAAAATAATAATAATATAAAAAAAATTAAAAGGCAAAGAGAAGAATATCAAGGAAAAGGAAATTTTTTCATTTCCTGCCAAAACCAATCCCACAACATCTTTGAGGTTTCAAAGGCCTGGTTACAATTTTTTTTTTTTTTTAATGTTTTACAGTGACAAATTTCACTTTGCACGTGCTCCTTGTTTTTAAATAAAACCTGGGCCACTATAGGAGGGAGGAATATTTTCATCCAGTTTAGTATTTTAATATCAAAGGTGGGTGGATAGACACTGACAAACCAAAAACCAACACCTGCCCCACAACAAATCCCAAGCACTGCTGAGAGGAGGAACTTGGCTCTGTGTATAAAATTATCATTTTTGGGTCTGGGTTGGAAGGGACCTTAAAGCCCATCCAGTGGCCCTCCCTGCCATGAACAGGGACACTTCCACTGTGCCAGGGTGCTCCAAGCCCCATCCTCTGAGCCAAAGCAACCTTTTCTAGGTAATAAAACAGGAAAAAGATGGAATGCCCCGAAGCGCATTGTGCCTAAACACAGGATGTGTGATTGTACACTAATTTTTTGGGCAGCCAGCATGGACAATCCTGCTGTCTTCCCTCTCCTTCTTGGTGGGGAAGAGGGAGAGAGCCAAGTTTGCTGCTGGATGGGGCTGAATAATTATTTACTGTCTGTGTGAGGTTAGCCCCACCACGGGATGACAGGCCCAGGTGGGCGAAACACGTTCAGCAGAGTGATTCATGCCTGGCTTTTGTCAGGAAATATTCTCTGACAGGCTGTACCATGCTCAGCTTAACTCCACCTGGATGGTCTTGGCACAGCTGACTTCCCACAGCTCCACAGAAATAGTTTTGTTTTTTTTTCCTGTGGCAAAAGGCAGGGCAGGGTGTGCTGCCCCATCTGTGTTTCAGCAAACAGGCTGGACACAGAGCAGAAGGGAGCAGCCCCCAACCTTTCACAGCTAGTCAAAAACAGCCCCACAAACCTTTCCATGCTGCCTTTGCACTTTCCCCAAGGAGGGGAATGGGGTCTGAGCTCCCCAGCCCCGTGGAATAGGGATGCCCCATCTCACAGCTCCTCTAAAACCCCCTGGCCATGGTCCTTGGGTGTTTCCCTGCCAAAGAAACGCTCCCAACTCTGGGATTTGTCATCCAGCTGAGGGCTGGGCTTTGCTGGGAGAGCTGGGAGTGCTCACCTGGAGGAGAGAAAGCTCCAGAGACCCCAGCTCCCCTTCCAGGGCCTGAGGGGGATCCAGGAGAGCTGGAGAAGGGGTTTTCACAGGCACTTTTTGAATTTTTGCCCTTTGGTGCTGAGACAGAGAGCGGTGGCATGGCACAGCATCCTGCTGTCCCCACACAGCGCCCAGTGGCTGTGCTCCTCTCCCAGCCCTGCTGCTGCAACCAGACAAGCTTCTGAGCTCTCCTTTTACACATCCCTGCCCTGGGAGTGCTCCTCAGATAGGAATCTTAGAGCAACACCCACCAAAGCCTCTGTGAGCTTTGGCTGGACCAAATCCATCCCTAATCCCCGATCTGAGGAGCATCCTCGGACTGAGGTGGAAGCAAAGCACCAGTTGTTTTCTTTTGCCATTACTGAAGATTAAAACAAAGCCAGGAGCATGGCAGAGGGTCACCAGTGTCAGCAGGGGAATGGGGAAGGGTGGAAGGAGCATCATTAGCAGAACAAAGCACCACACACCCAAAGCTGCTGGCCCAGCCCTGGAAGCCTCCCTCCTTCCCTCCATGCCCTCTAAGAGGAGCCTGCAGGAGTTTCAGCTCCATCCCAGAGCTGTAGGACCCTCACCAGACCAGCACCCAGCAGCACAACCACATCCCAACATCCCAGCAGAGCAAATCCCTTTCATCAGGCATCCCAAATATTTCTGCCGGGGTAAATCCATGTGACTTTAAGTGACAGTGGAATCACAGGGTCACACTGAACTGGTGACACAGGGTCGCACTGGACTGGTGACACAGCTTGTCCCAACCTCATCTGTCCCTCTGGAGCACCAGCCTCACACAGCAAATCATGCTACAGCTCCTAGAGAGCAAACCATGGCTCCTCATCCACGTCCTTTTCCCAATGGGTCATTCACCACATCCCAACACGGCCAGGCAGGCAAAACTCCTCAGTAATCTTTTAAAGGTTCAGCCTTTAATCCTAAAAACCTCAGCTGGATTTCCACATCCACTGAGAATTATTTCACTGCCTCTTGGGGCAGGCAGAAGATTGTTCTGCAATCCCTTGTGGGCCATGAAGAAATGTTGCTCCCAAAACCTGGACACCATCTGGCCTAACATCACCACTCAAGGACAGCTGGAG